AAAAATAAAAAAATTGTTTAAAATAGAAGCTATATTTTTGCATTCTGCAACAATTGCTAAATACTTTTTTTTTCTTATGCAATATTTCTTTGTTCAGCTCATCTTTGTGGAGAAGGATGGAGTCACATTGGGGATGCCTGTCTTAGGATCAATTCTAGTAGAGAAAGCTATGACAATGCAAAACTTTATTGCTATAATCTTAGTGGAAATCTTGCTTCATTAACAACTTTAAAAGAAGTAGAATTTGTTCTGGATGAAATACAGAAGTATACACAGCAGGTTTGTTTGTATTATCAAAATATGGGTGGATAATACCATAATTCTTGGAAGTGAATCGTTCTTTTTGCTTTTAACATATATATTCATACTAAATCTTAGAAATAAAAGTAGGACTGATTTCAAAAGTGAATTGACAGAGGACTTGTTCTGTCGCTGTATTTTGTAATAAGTTACTTATCTATGCTTTGCGTAGTGAATCATTATGAAGTTATCTTAAATGAATAAGTATTCTTAAGCATGTGTATATAAATTTATGATAAATCCACACTATATAGCCTGGTAGAGATGATTTGGACTTGAAATATTTTCACAATATTACCAGTTACTCAATATAGAAATACTTAAGCAATAAACCTGATTTTACATAATAGTGATAGAAAGCATATAATCTTGACATGCTGCTCATTTCTACAAGTTAGTAGTAGATTAGCCTTCCAGACCTATGGTACTAATTACAAATTGGGATTATAAGCAATAAATTTGATATTACATGTGAATAGTATAAATACCTTTTTGTGGGTGTGTTCACTGTGATTATATCATTATGCTTTTCAATTATAGATTATTTTTATAATGCTGGCATTATTATTTCCAGGAGTCAATATTTTATACTAACTAGATATCTAAATGAATGTTTTGATGAATAGCTAATATTGACATTGATTGTAAAAAATACTGTTTGTACAGACTAATGTTCTATTTTTTCCATGATGAATAATTAAATTTTTATGTGGACATTCCATTTACTGCAGACTCTATTTTTTATGGTGGAATTGACATGCAGAATTCTCACAAATTCCTGTAATGAATAATGTAATTTCTTTTCTTTTTTTTTTTTTTTTTTTTTTTTTTGCGGAACCGGAGATTGAACTCAGGCCTTTGCGCTTGCCAGGGAAGCGCTTATTCCACTGAGCTATCTCCCCGGCTCCAGATAATGTAATTTCTAATGACAGTTTCTTTCTATAGAGTCAAAGCTCTCTCCCCATTAATATTGTTAATAACTATATTGCTTGCCTTTTATAAATATTGAATTTTTTAACTGGGTCTCATACTTGTTGGCTTTATAATAGATCTATGCCTAGAATTAATAGGATAAAGATAAAAATAATTTTATATGAACAGTTGACCTATAAAACTTTTTTGTTGTGTGTTATTCTAGCTCTTTTTCTTTCAAAAAATGGACCAGTAGGGCCAGCGGGATAGCTCAGTGGTCTAAATCGCTTGCTTAGGCAAGCATGCAGGGATCTTGGTTAGATCCCAGGCACCACTTGCCACGCCAGCCCCGCCCCCACGGTGGCTGAGCTGGCTACAAAAATAAATTAAGTTTTAAAAAATGGACCAATATTATTTATGATACATTTACAGAATACATTTAGAACACTTGGAAATCTACTGCTTTCTGAGAATACAGAAATCAAAAGATGAGTATTTTTCTCAAATAGTTTAATAGAGATACAAGCACAATTATTTTGAACATAGGCAGAAGGTAAATATCTAATTAGCAATATATACTTTAGGAAAATTTCCTAAAGAAATGTCCTAGATAACTTTCGTAGGATTTGGGTTTGGCTGGCACTTAAAAGTTATTTCTAAGGAGGCTAGATAAAAATCCTACAATTTTCTTGTCTTACTTTAATTACTAATTTATGGCTAGAAGATAGAGTGTATGTCGTGGCATATGGGGGAAACCAATTGATTTTTGTATTTTAGGAAATAGACTTTTTATTGTTTTATTTTTTAGCATATGGAACATACAACAAAGTTAAGATCTATTTCTTTTATGTGAGGATCATTGTTTTTGGAAATGGTAATGAATACTTCTTAACATGAGAAAAACAGTTGTAAATCTCTACCACTTTTAAAGAGTTTATTGTTTGAATATCCACTTTTTTGAGTCTTAGAAACTACTAATAAAACTCATACTGTTTCTTTTTAAAAATATATTGTTTTTAGATCTACAGCTTAATCTTGAAGTGTGGTATTTTAAAAGTAGTATATTTTAAGGTTTCTTGTGTTGCTAATTTTTTCTTGTCTTACAAATCATGAAGAGTAGACTTAACAGTTATTTTGGATGCATGATGAACTTAGACTTGATACTTTGCTATCTAGTATGCTGTATGAAATAAAGGATGCTTTGTTTTATCAGAATGCTGAGCTTTCAACAGGATTTCAAATTGGAAACTTCTGCAAGGTGACATTCCATTAGCCATATCTTTGTATAAAATGAATTAAGTCCTGGGTCATTGCATTGTATAAACTTAAGATAACCCTCCTTTGGCAAATAAAGATCAATAAATTCATGTACTTTTAAGAGATAATATTGGGCCAAAATGATCATTTACTTATCAGAAATAGCTAAGGAAATGTTACAGTGATTTATGGTGTGCCGCAGCAAAATTTCATAATATAGGAATTTATCTTTCATTTTCCACTGCATGTCTGGTTCATTTATGTGGTAACAGCTACTTTAAGAGTTTTATCAGATGCTTCCTTTTTTTCCTCTTTTCTTTCTCTCAGATTCTTAGCATGATGAATTAGAGAGTAATATTTCATTTTCAATAACTTGTCTTTACTAGGTCTAAAAGACAATTAGAATTGTTATAATGTGAACCACAGTTGTTAATATGAAATGTATTTTATAAGCAACCTTAAAAATTTTATAAGTGTTATCAAATATCTTTAAGAACAGTGTAAAATATATATGGTGTTCACAATGTGGAATGTTTATTTTTCTAATTCAAAATACTCTTTATTATGTTGCACTTCTGGCTTAACCATTGTGCCAGAGGGTAGTGAAATAACCATTTTTATTCTCAGAATTTTGAATTAATCAAAATATATTGATTAATTAATATGTATAGCATACTGTATTGGTGGAATGAATTCTAATGTCATAATGAATTAATAAGACATTTTACCTCAAAATATCTGTTGAATATTTACTGTGTATAATTCAGTAAATGTGTAATTATGCATGCTGAAAATTTCTAAGTGGATAGCTGTCTTTTAAAGATCTCTAGAATTATTTGCAGAACATTAGAGTAAATATTGAATATAAATAGCGTTCTCCCCCTGTTTTAAAGATTTATATGTAGAGATATTTTTTCTGTACCGTGGCATTCCATGATGTAAAAAAAACCAAAATGTGGACTTTTAAGAACATTTTATATTGTAATAAGTATCAGTAGTTTAGTATTTTGGAAAACATAGTCTCACTTATATTAAAATAGAAGTATGTATAATTTAGTAGAATTGATTGAAATAGTAACAGATTATTAACATTCTTAATGCTCAATAGCAAGTTTTGAAATTGTGTAATGATTAAGATAAAGTATAAAAATATATAAATCAAGAATGATTTATGTGATTAGTATGATTATATAACTTTTGTAAACTTGTTAAATTTTCAACACATAAGAAAAATTTTATCATTTTTCATGCTTTTTTATTAATGAATGTATATGACATTAGATTATCTAAAATTGCACCAAAGCCCTAATATAGTATTAGAGAGCTGAATGAGTAAACATGGAATATTCTTTTCCATGTTCTTTTGTGAAGTTTTGTTATCTTCACTTAACCTCCATGTACTGTTCGTTTATTTTATTCTCTATTTTTTATTGGGGCCGGGGAGATGGCTCAGTAGGATAAGCACTTGACTGGCAAACTCAAGGATCTGAGTTCAATTCCCGGTTCCACAAAAAAAAAAAATCTATTTTTTATTATGTGGATAATGACAATTTATCTTTAGATTCTTAACTCTTTAACTTGAAAGTCATAGTAATAGAAGCAGCAGTAGCAACATATTGTTTTTAAGGAGACAGATATTTAAATTAGATATTTATATTTCTATTATTTAGCAAAGAAAATAACTACACAGGCTCTAAGTAAATTACTGTAGCTAAATGTAAAACATATGCTTTGATGTAGTGTTCTATTCTACATCGTTCTTCAAAATATGTTAGTATTAAATTATCCTTTGTACTAAAACAATGGTTCTATATACTTGAAATATATATTTGTTATGATAATAAGCTGTTTGCTTAGAAACATGATACATCAATTTTTTATCAATCTTTTAATGCCCTTTAATGCCCTACACTTTTAAAACGTAATTTTTATTAGTGTATGTTTGCAGTAATAATGCTTAGATTTCCCATGGGGAGGAATGGCACATGCACATAACACATCTGAATTACTCTTTTCATATCTTTGTTCTCCTCTTCCTCCATTTCTTTGTCCCCTTCCCTTTTACAAAAGATCTATGTCCCTTTTTCCTATTATCTATTGTTTTAACTTTTCTCTATATTTATATTTTGGGTTTCTAGTGTAAGAGAAGTCGTATAATGTTTATACTCATCTGTTTATTTAAATGTTGCCATATGCACCTTTTTTCCCTATAAATATCTTAGGTTTATCCTTCCTTATGGCAGAATGGTACTCCATCCTGTATAGATACCATATTTTACGTATCCATTTATATGTTGATGGGTATACTGAATGCTTCCAAGACTTAGCTTTTATTATGAATTATGCTGGTATAAACATGAATTATGCTTCCAAGGTTTAACTATTATGATTTTTTTCTTTTTTGTGGCTGACTAACCCCTTCTGGGGCAGGGCTGGCGCAACATGTGGTGCTGGGGATCACACCATGGTCCCTGTGCTTGCCTAAGCTTACCTAAGCAGACGCTTTAGACTACTGAGCTATCTCACCAGCCCAAGTGTTATGATTTTTAATAGTATTAATTGTGAATGCATCTATCACTGAAATGTGATATCTTTAACTCTTTCTGGAAGATACCTATACCTAGATGGGAATAGCTGAGCTGAATTTAATTTCTAACTAATTTTTTAAAATCTCCATACTGATTTCCATAGTGGTTCTATTACTTTACATTCCCACTAACAATGAATGAGTGGTTTCTTTCTAGGTCCTTCGGTCTTGGAGTCTATCAATTGTTGATTTTCTCTGCCTAATTTATGGCCTGTGTGTTTGTAAGGTACCTTTCTGTTCCCAAAGCCCATCTATCTGTGCACTACAGACTGTGACAAGGAATGCCCAAGCAAGGAATGTCCTTGCTCACATTGATAGATTGGCAAAGCAGTCAAGACACTAGTCTCTGTTAGCTGTAAGAAATGAGGCAGGAATTAAAGTATATGATTGGATTTAATGAAAGGACTTTCTAGCTGCTGCTGAGAACCACACTTGCCAGGTGTTGCATCTCATGATAGAGGGTGGTAGTGTTGTTATTTCCTGCCTGAGCCTGAACTTCTCGTGGGGTCTATGTCTAGCCTATAGTCTCTCTGCAGCTCTCTCCTGTAACCGTCTCTCAGTTACTTTGTTAGGGGAACACTAGAGACCCTGAAGTGAAGTTATTATGCAATTGTTTGGTGCTTATTTTCCAAATGACCTGATTAGACCCTCTCTGAGATGACACTGCAGTGTATTTTTTCTCCAACCTAACCTTCCATGAAGAAGTCACTTCCAGAGTAAAATCTGCCCTGTTTTTGTAGATTACAATACTTAAGACTCTTTCTTGGAGCTATCACTGCTAGACCAGTCTGTTATTTCTCCCTGGTGCTGCAGACTCTCTGGAAGTCTCTTCCTAGATATTTTCTCATGCGTGATCAGGTTAGTCAGTTGGTACCTCTGCTGCCCTGTCCTGCAGGGAAACAAAATGCAGAGCAGCCTCAAAGTTGGCCAAATGCAACTGAATCCATAAGTGTAAAGCTAGATGGGAACAAATGTGTGTCTTGTACTTGTCTTTAATTATTTTTTTTCTTCTCTCTTCCCTCCTTTTTTCATTGTTTACAGAAAGTATCACCTTGGGTAGGCTTACGCAAGATCAATATATCCTACTGGGGATGGGAGGACATGTCTCCGTTCACAAATACAACATTACAGTGGCTTCCTGGTGAACCAAATGATTCTGGATTCTGTGCATATTTAGAAAGGGCTGCAGTGGCTGGGTTAAAAGCAAATCCTTGTACATCCATGGCAGATGGCCTTGTCTGTGAAAAACCTGTTGGTAAGTAGTCCATTAAATTTGCATTTCTTTAAATGTGTTATTAAGCCCTCTTTTTACTACCTCCTTCCAACCTGTAGTCTGAAGTAACTCACAATGCTTTTTAATGATATGGACCTCCTAATAATTATAATTACGTATATTTTCCACTTATTAATTGATCCTAAGCATAACATAGGAAAGTAAAAATTTATACAATTTTATTTTTATTTATTTTATGTGTGTGTGTGTGTGTGGCCAGCTCAGGCCACCAGAGGGCGCGGCTGGCTGGAATGTGGTGCTGGGGGATTGAACCGTGGTCCCTTTGCTTTGCTAAGCTTGTTCAAATAGGTGCTTTAGACCACTGAGCCATCTCACCAGCCCCAAATTTATACAATTTTACAAAGCACTTTTTATTGAAATACTGTGATTATGGACATATGGTTATATACTACAGCAATAATCTGTTTTTAATTTCTTGATGTGCTTTATCATAATAGTTTTTGAGAAGATTTGATTTAATGTTAATGACTGAAACAATGTAATCTTATAGATCTATTGTAAATTTTTTAAGTAAACAAAAATGTATTTCTGTATTACATTTTAGAGTGATTTCTGTTATGTGAGAAGGAATATTTATTTTTTTCTTTTACAATAGAGTATTTTATTTACTGAATTTATTTTATTTACAGAATTTACTGTCTTTTAACCATTTTAAAGTGTATGCTTTAGTGGCATTAAGTGCATTCACACTGTTGTGCAATTATTACCTCTATTGATTTTCAAAACTTTCATTTTGCAAAACTAAAATTCTATATTCATTCAACAGTATTTTCCATCACTTAGAAATCACCATTCTATTTTGTCTGAATTTGACTACTGTATGTGCTTTGTATTGTAGACTCATATGATTTTTATTCTTCTGTGACTAGCTTATTCCCTTAGCATAATAACTTCAAAGTTTATCCAAGTTATAGCATGCGTTACTTTTTATTATTTCAGGCTGAATTATATATGTATATATAATTATATATGTCGATATGATTTTATATATAATGTCTGTACAGTGAATCCCCAACTTCAAATGAGTTCCATTCCAGGAGAACCTTTGTAAGTCAGATTCATTTGTAAACCCGACAAAGTGAGTCTTACACATCTTTAATGCACAAATACAGTACATATTGATTTGTGTTTCCTAATAGTCCACTCCACATTCCCACTGCTTTTTGTCTTGCTTCTGGACATCCTGGGCTCTGACTGGGCACTGTACTACTGTACACTACAGTGTACAGTGAGCACAAGGTAACATCTGTGACAATGTCTGGCAGACACATGAGCTACTTCTATGATTTGTTTGCGTCCACAAATTTTCATAATTTGAGGCCCATTTATATCTTTGAAAATTCCCAACTTGAATGTTCATAAGTCAGGGGCCTACTGCATATCTAATTTTATATGTGTATATATACACACGCACACACGTATCTCCCACATTTTGCTTTCCCGTTCATCTATTAGAAGACATTTGAGTTGCTTCTACTTTTGGTTATTGTTCATACTGCTGTGCTTGAATTTCTGGTATCATTTTTTTGGGTACATATCCAAAAGTGGAATTGCTAGATCATAGTGTAATTTTTTTGTTTAAGTTATCGGGGAATTGTCATTCCATTTTCCATACAGTCTGTATCATAAAGTAATGCATAGTTCCAATTTTTCCACACATTGGCTAATATTTGTTATTTTTACTTTTTAAGTTGCTTTTTAAAATAATTATAATCCTAAAGAATGTGATATTTTAGTACGTTATATTTTTATTGTTTGTTTATATCACAGCCATGGTTACAAATAGGTATGATGTTATAAGTTATGGAATGTTTATGGAAAAATTATACTGGGAAATGAAATTATGCTGATATACATAGTATTCAGTATATAGAAAGACTACATGGAATATTATATTACTATGTATAATTTTCAAAATTACAAAATAAGTCACTATTTTACATGCATTTTTCATTTCATAATAATTTAAGTAATATTCATCTGTGTTTCGTAATAGTCCTCTATTATCTGTTATCTTTGCATTTACCTAATTAGATTATAATGACACACTTGGGATAATTGAAAAATTTCCTATATACGTATATGTAGAAATACAAATAACAAATGAAATATTTATATTTGTGGATTTTTTTCTAGTAAGTCCAAATCAGAATGCAAGACCTTGCAAAAAGCCATGCTCTCTAAGAACTTCGTGTTCCAACTGTACAAGCAATGGCATGGAATGTATGTGGTGCAGTAGTACAAAGCGATGTGTGGACTCTAATGCTTACATCATATCGTTTCCATATGGACAATGTCTAGAATGGCAAACTGCCACCTGCTCTCGTAAGTATCAGTCTAGAGTAATTTTTCATTAAATATTTGATAAATTTCAAGTAATGACAGAACATATTCTTATAGATAGGTTTAAAACCTTCTAGTGCTAAAGAAAAAACCTTGTAATGCTATGAGCTTGTGAGCTTGAATTTCACTAAGCATATTGCCTTAAAGGTTAATATTTGCCACATTTGTGCCCCCTTTTCTTTGAACTCTAAGGGTAGTTGCAGAGAGCATGTCACTTCATGATAATGCTCACTTTAAGGATTCCATGCTGCTTAGTTGTGCTTCCTTTAACCCATGTCTTTTTATAATATGACTTTGCTAATTTTGTATACCAGTTTTTTTGTATGTTAAATTGTATATTTCTGTTTGTTTTGTTGTGGTCAAATTCAGGTAAGTTTTTTGGTAAAATATGTTATTGATGTTGACTGCTACAAATGCAATATGCATAGCAATGTCATCAGATGGAGAGTTATGGGAGTAGGTGAGGCTGGAATTGCTGTGAATTATTCCTCAAGAGAAGGATCCTTCCCCGTTGGTCTTATATTTTGCATGACTGTAGGATAAGGATACACCTGAATGAATTTTTGTTACTGGACACTGATTATAAATCACAAGCCTTACTTGCCAAGACAAAGTACATCAGAATGCAGCTGCTAAGGAAATTACATAGTGCTAGTTGTTGTATTATGTAGATAGCAGAATGTGTGTAGTTCCTTCTGTTTGGAGGAAATAAGTATGGTTTTGAGTCAATTTCTTGTATGTAGTGAATATAGTTCATGTCCCCCCATAACCCAGGGTCTGTTATTGAGGTTCGTAAAGGATTTAAAGTATTAGTCTGTTCAAATTTGGATTATGAAAGTCAAAAGTGTTTTTTATTTCTGATGCATCTCCTCCAAGTACTCAATGTTGTATGTTTTCTTTCATATCCTATTCATTGGACTCTTTCCTTCTGTGATTGATCCAGACTTCATATTTTGAGATTTTTTAAAAAACAAAATAATACTCTTTTTAGGAGCCCAAGACTTACCATTGTACCACCATAGTTAGCATCAGAATCATCTGAGATACAATTGATGTCAATATTTGGTCTCCCTTGACTACTTGATTTGAACAAAGCAAAGATAAACTGGAAGAAGAAGAAGGAGAGGGAGAGTGAGAGTGAGAGTGAGAGGGAGAGGGAGAGGGAGAGGGAGAGACAGAGGGAGAGGGAGCGACAGAGGGAGAGGGAGAGGGAAGGGAAGGGGGAGGAGGAGTTGTTATTTATAAGCTACTGAGTATCAAGTCAGAGGGACCAGGAATGATTGGATTTGGTCAGTTGGTTGATCAATCTGTCTATCTATTTATGTATCTATCTATTTATCCATCCCTGTTATTTTAACCCAGTAAACAAGGTTTGAATCTAATACATAGATGGGTGCCTGTAGAGTATCTGTCCAGTAACTCTTAAATTTAGATATGTGTTGTACTTCCAAAGTATTCAGTGGAATAGCAGAAGAAATAGTTTCTTGCTGTCTCAATTCTAATTCCTTGCTTCTAATAATAGCTGTAAATTCTCTATTATTATCCCCACCAATCACCTATCTTTGCAACACTTTTACACACATTCTAGGTTTTTGAATTGGTCATCTGGCTTCCTCTTGATCTGTTCCCTCCTTGAAGGAGCCACATGGAGGTTTGCCAGAGGTATGGGCCAACGCCCACCTTATTTGTATAGTTTTCATAAGTATCTTCAGGACTTTCTCATAGGACGCTTGACTCTTTTGCATATTCTCCACAGAAGCAATCAATGGCAACGTAACTGCGATGAAGTACAAGTATTCCTGAAGCAATGCCATTATCTATTTCTTTTCCTTCATCTTCTGAATTTCATTTTCTTCCCGGAGACAGGCTGTTCAAGTTAGAAATCAATTTTCTAAGTCTGAGATCTTTTCTGCTGTCTTTTGTTTGAAGACCTGTAAGTGTCCTGCTTGCTCCTGGGATCCAGCTTTCCATGAATGACAACATGGCCAAATAGTTACTAAAAATTTATAATGGAAATGGTCTAAGCTTTATGTTGCTTTGAGAAGTTGTTGTAATTATCATTTGAGGGTTTTTTTTTTGTTAAAACAGTTTAAGAATTTAAGAAAAATGTATCTTTGCAAATGATAAAGATGAATTTTCAAGTCTTAACATTCAGATATCAATGTGTAAAATTCACAAACTAAAGAGAAGTATCTTCTAAGACATAATTTTTGTGACTTCTGAAAAAGCTTTGTTCATAGCTAGCATTTTTAAAATGGGTATATTTAGATAAAAATTCTAAATAAATGTTCTACTTAGTTGATATATAAATTAGTCTATGGATATTAAGTAATAGAAGCTTTAGTTATTAATATGTAGAATTACAATGAAAATAAAATCTTCCTGAAATAGAAAAACAAGAAATCTTATGATATAGCATGTAGTTTTTCTCTGCACATCTAATTTTTTTTTTTTTTGGCGGGACCAGGGATTGAACTCAGATCCTTGCGTTTGCCAGTCAAGCGCTTATCCTACTGAGCCACCTCCCCGACTGCACATCTAATTTAAAACTCTCCCTTTTTTGGTAATTGAGGAACAGAATTACTTTTACATTTGTTAATACTCGCTTCAAGATTGATTTTTCAGATTCTTATGTATTTAAAAATTGATTATTTTACAACCTAACATTCAAAAACCCAAAAAAAGATTTTTATTGATATTTATAAATATTATTAGTTCATCTGTAGTCTCTATAACAACTATAATTTTAAGAATCCTATACAATCTACATAAACTTTCCTGTAATGTTTTCTGTAATAAAAAAGAAAACGCCTTAGAATTTAAGCGTTTGGGTCACCATTAAGTACTAAGAATGAGTTTTTATGTTTTCTGAGTGCATATTGCTTTCCACTCAAGCAAAAGAATACCAACATTACCTTATTTAATAGTTTTTTATCTAACATAAAAAGCTACAGTGTTACTCTGAACATGAAATTTTTTTATTAATTTTATTGAGAAACAAATAGTAATGAGACAGTTTCAAAACAGGATAGTAGGACAGTTGCTATAATACATTGCATGTTGTTGTCTTCATAGTAGTTATTCATAGTACAAGATGCAGACATAGTATCCTGTCCAAACACTATTAGTACAAATCTTCTCATTGAATTAAGAGAAAGTAGCTGTATATCTATCCTGTTTTGTATATACAGATACAAAATGGTCCTTCATTTATATCCCTCTTTTTCATTTAGTTTTGTCAGAGATCGGTATTCCATTGCCATTTAAATATTGTAGGTGCATGAATTCAGCAAAATAATCCAATATAGTTCTGTAGTTGTAGTGGGTTATCCGTAGGACTGTGCAGACCTCAAAAGTTATCTCTGAAATTGCTGGGCTCCAGACCTTTGAATGTGAAATTTTGTTTCTCGCTTTTAAAATCTAAAATCTAATAAACTGAGCTAGAACATGTATATTTTATCATTGAGTGCAAGAAACCAAGGATTCTTTTTAAAAATGTTTATCAGTACATATTTGCAGTGCTCAATGACTATGTCTATCATGAGAAGTTGGTACATGTATAGAACACATCTTAATGCCTTTTACTTTCCCATTCCCTGCTCTCTAGTTGCCCTCCTTTCTTCTCTTGGTCTCTGCTCAGCAAAAGATCCATCTCCCTGGTTTCTATTATCTGTCCTTTCTTTTGTTTTTTATTTCAAATTTATCCTTCATTTCTGCATAGTATTACATTGCATATGTTTACCACATGTTTGGCGACTCTGTAGATGGCCATATAGACACCTTTGCATATTTAGCTTTTAGGAGTTGCGTTGCCATAAACATGGGTATACATATATCACTGTAAATTGATGTCTTTAACTCTTTTGGAAAGATACCTAGAAGAAGAATAGCTAGGTAAATGGAATTTCTAATTTTAGTTTTTTTGAGGAGTTTCCATAATAATTTCAATAGCAATTGTGAGGTTTCTTTTTTCCTGTACTCTTGGCATCTTTTGTTATTATGTGATATCTTGATGATAGCCATTCCTTCTGGGATAAGAGGGAATTGCAGTGTTATTTTAATTTGTATTTCTCTGATGACAAAAGATATTGAACATTTCTTTGCACTTACTGGCTATTTGTTTTTCTTCTCCTCAGAGGTGTCTATTCATTTCAGTTGCTCGCCTTTTGATTAGGTACTTTATTTTGGGGGAGTCCGTTTGAGTTTGTTATGTATTCTTGATATTCTGTGTGAAGAGAGACTGGCAAAAATTTTTCCTCTGGGTTGTCTCTTTAATCTGTTGGTTGTTATTTTGCTGTGCAGAAGCTTTTTAATTTTGTAGCATCCCATCTCTTGATCTTTGGTGTTATTTCTTGTGCAACTGGGGTTTTGTTCAGAAGGTCCTTCCTTATGTCTGTGTCTTCAAGAGTTTAACCTATTTTATTGTTAAATAGTCTGTTTGTTTCAATATTTAATTATTTGATCAATTTTGTGTTTAGTTTAATGCATGGGGAGAATTATGGGTCTAGATTCAATTTTACACATGTACATAGCTAGCTTTTACAGTGCCATTTGATAAAGAGGGTATCTTTCTCCAACTAATAGTTTTGGCACCTTTATTAAAGATCAGATAACTGAATGTGCCTAGGGTTGTTTTGGTATCATTTATTCTGTTTCATTGACCTGCAAAATTCTTTAAGATTTCCCCAGCTGCATAGAAGGCATTATGAAAAATATTGTATTGGTAATAGTTTGGATAAAAAAAATAATCTGGCTGTAAGTTTTTTATATTGCATTTTAGATATTTTAATGATTATCGTTCCTTAAGAGGAGAGTTCTAAGGTAAGATTTATTTTCTCAGGAACTATGCATATATTTTAAACTATTAGAAAACAATATTTATTAAGGGTAAGACCTAGTAAATTTTCATTAAACAATTGTTTGTTATTAAATAGTGTCAAGATAATATAAGTGAATTTTTAAAATTATTTACCATTAATTACATAGCACCTAGTATCATTTGGTAAACAGCATAGCACAGTCAATGATACTGTGAGTTTACTACAATCCTAGATATAAGAGAAACATTTATTTCAAATCAAAGAAACTAAGGAAGATTGTGGAAATGTAGGAAATGCCCAGTTGCCTAAGCATCTTTTCTTTTTTTTTTTTTTTTTAATATGTATTTTTAGTACAGGACCTATAGGATCTACAGGTTCTCACTACATAGATCGGATTCATAGTGATTCTCCTGTTTTCAGCCTCCTGAGCACTAGGATTACAGGCTTATGCCACCATGCCTAGTCTCAGTCACTGTCTTAGTGTGCCCCAGGGGCGGGCTTGCACTGTAGGCCAGGGTGCGCTCTGCTTAAGCAGATGCTTTAATCTGCTGAGCTATCTGGATGGCCTTTAAGTATCTTTTAAATAAAGCATCATTTACCATTGTGTTATTGGGAAATATCTGAGTTTCTAAAGGAAGACTCTTGGTGTCAATGAATTAATTATGTGTACAAGGTTAGAGTTACCTATTAGTGTTTGATAACTCATAATATGAGGTTTTATTAAGTTAATAATAGCACTAGGATATTATATCCCATAACTCAGTTATCAGCATTCAAAGAATTCATAACAAATAATATTATGATTGATGAATTCTTTAATATTATGCTATCTTGAATAGCCTAATATATTGACTTGCTGATGTTCACTAAGAAACTCATGCCAATCTTATTTGCAGTAATAGGAAGAACATTATTGCTTCCAGTAATATTAAATATGGAGTGGCAGCTGAGTTATTAACACTACAACAATGAAATTGAATTTGCCAGATATCTACCATTTCCCCCCTCTGGAGGTTTCCTATGTGACTAGAAGACATTCACAATGCTTTATATATCTGTTACTATTTTCTATGAATAGACAGTTCCCCAAACAAAATGTGCCATGTGTAGCAAAGAACATTATGGAAAATTTTAGCCCCATAAGATTAAAAAGTTAAAAGCATTACTTAGCAATGAATGTGAATATGATGTGAGATTGTAATATCGCTTTATCCTTGGATTATCTCATAGCATTCATAGATTATGATTTACTTATATTCTATCTAAGTCCAAAATAATAAAAGTTGAGCTTCATTAAGTTAGTCTTAGAATTATATTGTTTATCTCTGAAAGTTAGCAAGGGTGTGTACATTGGGTTATCTCAATGAAGGAGAACAGAAGGCTCCCATATTCTCACTCAGGTTATTTGTAGGGTAAAATTTTGTTTATCTATCACATGATAGCAAAAATACTGGTATCTTGGACCCTTAGGAAGAGTGCTACCCCCAAGAAACAGCCCAAATGGGGGCCAGGATTCTCAGGAAATGGCCTCTGTCACTTATATTGGATGTCCACTGGACAAAATTATTCATTAAAGACCTTCCCTATGTACAAGAATGGTAAACAGTTCAGTATCACAGCCAATAGAGTAGGTATTCTGTAGTCCCCTGGGCCATCTCCCCCAGAATGTTAGCCCTGGAAAAGTCTTAAGGAATCTGTAAGCAGTGACTTCATTTTTCTCTATGTCATGATTACTACCCTTCCTTTTAAAACAAAACAAAACAAAAATCCCCACATAAATTTATCTCTTCTTTTGTATACTTTAAGTCTATTGGTTAGGTATTAATACAGAAATATTTCCATCAACTGTTAGTAGCATATTTGACTGTTACTGATTTTTCTGTAATCATTTATTTTTGGTAAACAATTCTGGTTGAATATAAAGTTATGTAACATTTTAAATGTTTATATGTGCAGCTCAGAATTGTTCTGGATTGAGAACATGCGGACAATGTTTGGAACAGCCTGGATGTGGCTGGTGCAATGATCCTAGTAATACAGGAAGGGGACACTGCATTGAAGGGTCTTCGCGAGGACCAATGAAACTTGCTGGAATACACAACGAGATGATCCTTGACACTAATCTCTGCCCTAAAGAAAAGAACTATGAATGGTCCTTTATCCAGTGTCCAGGTAATAAAAATGTGAAAAAAATATTGAATTTGATTGAACCAAATTATAACCTGTCACTCATCACTGTAGTATATTAGCATTTTATGCAATCTAGTATATCCAGTGTAGCTTCATGGTAAGTATAAGAATACTTCATATAGCATCTATGGTGGAGTCAGCTGGCCTTATCTTCAAAGCTTCCTTTGATGTTCCCTACTCATTGGGGACCTATAAAGATCCATGCTGAATGCTCCTCAGAGTTGGGTACTAAAAAACTGTGGCATTTATCTACTAGCTCTTCTCCCACACTGATTGAATAATCGCCCCCATGAATATTAACTCCATTGTACTTCTGAGCCATGTTAGTATGTCTAATCAACATCTTTGTTGGTATCAGTAAAAACCTGAGATAGAAAAGTAGGGTACAGTTATTTCAGAATTTTACATAAGCTGCTGACAATTTAAAAGAGTAAGACTAGTTAAAAGAAGAGAATATGCCATACAGTATAATAATATCTGCTTCTGAAACTATGAAATAGGTAAAAAAAATAACTCAAATCAAATTACAGATTTAAAAAATAACATGGATGAGTTTTAAAGGTACTTTGCTTAGTGGAAGAAGCTTGATTCAAAGGCTACAGGTTGTGTTATTTAAATCATATTGCGATCTGAAAATATAAAACTGTGGAGATGAAAAACAGGTCAGTTATTTGCCCAGAGTAAGAACAGGAATTGATTTTAAGAAGAATCATAATGAAAATTTGATGATTTGGAATTATTGTGTATGAGTTTGTCAAAATCTATATTGTATACTAGGAATGTAACTCACTGGGAAAGCACTTGCTTAGCATGTGGGAGGCTCTGGGTCTGATCCCGAGCACCATAAGTACAAAACAGATCTATATGGTTTACCATAAAGAATCAACTTTACTGTGGATAGATTTCAAGACAAGTTAATCAGCATATTGGAGGAACCAAGAATGGAATACAAATTGTTTCAGAGGAATCTAACTGTATTACATATGTTATAACCTCACTGAAAAACTACTTTAGCTTTCGGGCTGGGGACATAGCTCAGTGAAACAAGCAATTGTCTGGCAAGCGCAAGGTCCTGATTTTGATCCATGGTACCACCAAAAAAATACTTTAGATTTGGAAATACTGTTTTGACTATGTTAAAGAAAGGTTAAAAAACAGGAAAAATAACCCTATTAATAAGTACACTGTATTCTGTGGTAAATTTGTTTTTCCTAGTTTCAGATTAATGAATCTAGTTTTATATATAATGGATTTGAGTACATACATATGTGAAGTATATTTAATAGGAGGCAGGTTTCTCATAATCAGAAAAGAAAGTTAAAAATTAACAAGGGGTGATACTGCATTAGAGCTGGAACATGTTTAGTTCATGTTTAATACATACATGCATGCAACTATAAATATATATGTGTATAAATGAGGTCATGTGCATACATATACAGTATCCCTAGATATCTTTGATGAGAGAGCATAGAAGATATGATAGTCTGATACAAAGAAATAAAATGGATCAAATTATTGATTTGTCAAATAAATCTAATATACAGATCTTGATTTCTAAATGCTATTCTCCAATGAATGTAACAAGGGCTTTCTAGTTAAATGGCTAATTCTGCGGGTGGGGCAGGGAGAATTTGAGACTAGTCTGGATCGTTTTGCATACCCACCTAGTCTCAGTGGCCAGCTCAGTGCACCCAGGGGCGGGGCCGGTATGCCATGTCATGCTGGGGATCAAACTCTGGTCCCTGTGCTTGCCTAAGCAAGCACTTAGTCTGCTGAGCTATCTTGCTGGCCCCACACTTGAAATTCTTAAGCAAATCTTGCTTGCTTATGAAATATCCCTTTCTTGTATTGCTGGAGTCCATGTGCTAAAGTTTTTCATGTTTTTCTGTACTTAAATCAGTGTGTCTAATGATCAATAGTTTTCTTAACAATTTCAGTAGTTGAAATATTTCCTTTTCCATTTTCTGGAAATATTTGTATAGAATGTATGTTTTTCCTTCTTTTAGTATTTGATGGAGGTCATAAAGGAAGACATCTTGCGTAGGTTTTTCTTCAGAGAGAGATTTTTGTCTAAGATCCATTTTTAAAATAATAGATATGGGGTTATTCAAGTTTACTGGTTTTTCTTGAGTAAGTGTGGTTTTTGCTGAAGAAATTTGTTTATCCAGGATATTAAGGTGGTCTGTATGATCCATAGTGACACCCATTCTTTTATTTTGAATATTCATAGTTTGCATTTTCTGTTTTAATTAGTCTGGCTAGAGCCCTCAATTTTTACTGATGCTATGAGTGGTTTTTTCTTTTATGGAATTTTCTATTGCTGTGCTGTGCATTTTTCTTATTTTAATTTTCCCTCCTTTCTGCTTTCTTGGCACTCTCTCTCTTTCTCTTTCTATTTATAAGGGTAAATTGATAATTGATAATTGATCCACTAGTTTATTTCTAATATAATACCATAATGCTTATAATTTTCTCTAAGAACTAGTTTTGATTAATGCTTGTATTATAGATCAATTTCTATGTTAATTGAAATTTATTTAATATTTGGAATGTGTTTTTTAGACATAATACATTCTTAGTTCTTTTGGCATAATACAGTATCTGGGCCTTTTATAGTAAATGTGATTATCAACAACACTTAGCTTTAATTGACTGCCTACTTTTTCCCCATATATTTTTTGTTCCTATTTACCTCTTTTCCTATCTTTCTTTAAATGAACTGAGTATGTTCTATAGCTTCATTTTATGTGTTTCTTGATTTTATCTTTTTTATGTTTAGGTTTTAAAACAGTCATCTTAACTTGTCACTATCTACATTTAAGTAATATTCTTCACATGTGTATTACTTATTGACTATGTATTATTGTAAGTGTGTTCTAAATGCAATAGTACACTTCTGTTTATTTTTGTATATAGACAATTATCTTTTGAATATGTTTTAAAAATAAAAATGTTCTTACTGTCAAGAAAAAGTGTAGTCTCTAATAGCCCTGGTATGCCCAAGATGGAGTGATTTCCTTTAATGTGAGATTTTCCATGCTAAACACAGTAGAGTTCAGGAAAACTAGAATTCTTGCTTTTTTGAATATTGACTCAACCTTAGTTGGGGCAATTAAGAAATGGGACAAAATATATGAAGAACAGTTTTTAAGACTTGGATATTAGGCAAAAAAGCTAGTGGTCTTCTGGAGATAGTAAACAAATTAAGTGAGACCTATAGGTGTCCTAGTTTAATGCCTAAAGATAATTTACATGAATAAGGGGATGGAGTCCAAATTAAAGATATTCACCTATAAGTCTGAGGAAGCTAAGAAAAATACATTACTTGGAAAGGAAACCAAAGAACACAGACCTGTTTAGAGAGAAATCTCTGGGGGAAGTATGAAAGGGTATCCTGTGATCTCTCAGGAAAAAACAAAGCAAAACAAAACTATGTGATTGAATACTGCTGAAAATAATGTAAAAAAAAAAGGACTAAGAAAACTACATTATTTGGAAAGGAAACCAAAGAACACAGACTTGTTTAGAGAGAACGCTCTGGTGAACTATGAAAGGGTATCCTTTGACCACTCAGGAAAAAACAAAGCAAAACAAAGATACGTGATTGAATACTGCTGAAAGTAACCAGAAAAAAGGAATTCAAAAAGTACTTGGTAGATATTAAATAGGGCTAAGAATTAACTTCTCTGAAAAGCTAATATAGAAAAACCTCATTATTCATTGAGTGTCGGAGAGAGTATCCAGAAGGGATTTTGCTTCACCTGTTTGGAAAAATTAGTGATACAGAACAGGGTGCATTAATTTGATTTACTGAAGACTCTTATATAGTCAGAAGAATCACTATTTTTCAATCCCCTAACCAATTTTAGAAAAAAGGTAAACCTTCTTTATAAAAATAAAAAAATAATAAAGCATCCAAAAAAGCAATTTAAAAAGTTTATGACATCTTTTATCCAATTAAAAGTCAGTTTGTATGCAAAAAAGCAGGAAAATATGACTCATGGCAAGAAAAGAAAATCTTACTGTAATGTCACGTAACTCGGTAGTGTCCCAAATTTTCTGATCAAGGAGATTATGAGGCCAAAGAGGAAAGTGATCGATGATGTAGAGTGTGCCTAAGGAGAGTCACATGGAGAGAAAAACATTCTCTCAGGCTTTCACAGAGAGCACATTGGCCAAGCAATGGCCATGACTCATCCACATGGCTGACACTGACAAAGGTTCTACAATCTGAGGTACAGGATCTCAGGATAAATCCTGAGGGGATTTCACTGACCTTCTCAGACCCAAAAGCTACAACTCTTGTTGCATAGGTCCTGCTTTACCTTGGTCTTAACCATCCAGTAGAAAAGTATGAAGACGAAATATAAGTAAAGCCATGCTGTTATGTTGAGCTGTGGGGGACTCAGGTCAACAATTTCTGACATTGTCAGTTAAACAGAAGACCCAATGCTATTATGGGCTACTGGACTCTTTTAGAATATTTTCTGAGTTTACACACCTATAATATTCAAATAACGGAACTTAGCAAAAAACGGGTATACAGATGAATGTCCATTTTGTATCTGTGTATTCAAAGTGGTTAGGATAGATATATAGTTACATTCTCTTAATGAATAGAATGATTTGTTCTGGTGGTGTTTTTAAATAGGATCTCAGGTCCGCATCTTGTATAGCAGTTAACCACTAAGAAAAATGTATGCAGTGTGTTCATTATTGAAACTGTTCTAGTGATTTGATTTGAAACTGTCTCATTGCTGTTTGTTTATCAATAAAATTATGAAAAAAACAAACTAAAAAAAGAAAAGAAAATCTACCAATCCAGTTAAATATATTATTAGAGAAATGATATTGAAGTGATTATTATAAGTATACATTATTCCATATTTTAAGTAGTAATGAGCTATTAAACATGTTAGGTATAGTTATAACAAATACTAAATGAAGACCAAATGGAAATTATAGGAATACATCTGAGCTGAAAAATTAATTAAATGTGACTAATACAGAGACGATAGTAAAAACTGAAGATCACTATTCTCAAAGACAAGCAATAGAAAGTATCCAACATGAAACACAGATAAAGTTACTTGAATAAAATGTAAAGAATATCAATGATGTATGTGAAGTTCATGTTATCCAGTGTTTTTTAAATTAAATATCTGGAGAAGGGACAAGAAGAATATTTGAATAATTAGAAGAAATAATAGCCAAAATTTTCTAAATTTGATGAAAAATATAAATGCACAGTGGTAAAATTTTGGTGAACTTTAAGACCAAGAAATATAAAGAAATCTACTTTGGTGTATCAGTATGTCTAATCATATTGATTAAAAGCAAGTAACACAAAGGTAGAAGTAGCCAGTGAAAAACATACATGTTTACAGGAACAGAGCTAAGTCTTATATCATATTTCTTATTGAAAATAAGTGAAAGTGGCTGGAAGAGAAGACAGTCATCCAGGGAGTAACAGCAAGTGTGAATGTGTCTGTATTGTGCTGGAGAGAAGCGGATGCCCCGGGGAGGGGGTGGTGGAATAAATGAAAAGATAATTCATCTGGACTGCAATCCATGTCTAAGAGCTTGTGTGTGGAAAACAAATCACTCCTCACTCACATCTCCTCATCTACCTCAGACCTGGTGTACGTGGCATGCTGGGAGAGGATTGCCCTGAGGGAGGGAGCCAGCCATTTAGTGATGGCTGCCTGGTTGTACAGACTCACAAATACTTCAACCTTATTGCTGGCACTTTGCCAGAATGTACAACCTGGGAATTCCATGAGCCAAAATGCAAGAGAACTGAGTGGATCAAATTGTTTTAGAAGTGCCTATAAGTGGTGGGACTGTGAGGATAAAGAAACCCTGTTAATGAGACATTCATTGCAGTAGTCACATGTTACAGTGGGTTCACAGTGGGATCCCCCAGCACCTCTTCGCTGAGTACTGCAGAGGGCAGGGAAAGCCCAATCTGTTATAAATAAGCAGAGCAATGGAGTGGAGAAGTTTTGCCCCTGATGCCCTGGTCAGAGGTGTACTCAGCAGAGTCAGAACACAATGGGCACTCTCCTAACATTTTTCCAAAGCCAGAAAGGTGTTGGAAAGAGACCACGTGAAGTTTGCATACTGCCCTGCACCAGCAAAGTAGGTATCACCCAAGCCTGGGGATGGTAGTTCTTGGTTCTGAAGTGGAGCAGGCAAAGCTGAGACAGTTGAGTGCAAACACAGTGAATGTCATTCATTCTGGTGGCCTATTGGACATATATTGAGTAAGAAAAGCTTGGAATGAAGTTATAGAGATATCTGTTACGTTTACTCTTCTTCCACCAATAACTAAGGTCATAAGATCTATGGATTACTGCAGTGGATAATACCTGGAACACATCTTGTGACCCTAAATCCTATTCAGAGGAGCAGCAGTCTTTATGGCTTTGGGCAAGCAATTGATTGTACTACAGGAGGAAACCTCTTGGCTACTTGCAATCAGACTGTGACTCCCATGTGAACAGAGGGAGCTATATCTTCAGTCTGGGTTAATGTTATAGCAACAGTGTGAAGGTTTTCATTTTTGTTTCTATTTTTATTTTGGTTGTGTAGTTATTGTTTCCTTCTTTGTTTGGTTTGGCTTATTTTGATGGTCTTTCATTTTTCTTCCATCTTTGGGTCTTATTTCTTCACTAGTATTATTTATGTATTATACTTTGTTCTTCAAGATTTTCCATGTCACTCTTTTTTCCTTTATTTTAGGGAAGGCTCTCTAGGGTGTTCAGAGTCTCACTACTAGATGAGACTCATAGTGGTTTGGCTATTTACAGCCTCCCAAGTGCTGGGATTACAGATGCGCTCCACCATGCCCAGTCTCAGTTGCCATCTCAGTGCTCTCCAGGAGCATGGTCAGCACTGCAGGCCTGGGGATTGGACCCATGGCCCCTGCGCCTGCTTGTAGGCACTTTAATCTGCTGAGGTATTTGCCAGGCCTTTTTTTTTGTTACTTCAGGGTACCTAAAGGGTAGTTTGGTGCATTTCTGGAACTGGGTTCTTTTGTTT